ACATGTTTTGACAATTTTAATAGAAAACGTTGCATGAATAGAAATAATTATTATTTATCAAATTTGATGTTTATAAATTTTAGTTTTCTTTTCAAAATGATAATTAATAAATTATATTAAAAATCGGCTGAGAAAATAATTTTAAATTTTAAAGATAACGCTTCAAAAATTATTCAGCATTTTTTGAATCAGACATTTAACTTCGATATTTTTTAGCCAATAAAAAAAAAAAACACATTTAGAAATGTATAAAACATAGGCATTTACATAATGGCACACACGCATCTAACAATTAAATATTGTTTTATATATTTAGACCAGGATCTTTTATATAACAAAAAAATAATGCAATTGCGTTAACCTTTTAAGAATGAAACACACCTTATATTGCATGGGAAAGGTGGCATGAAGTGGAAAATTTGAAGTTATAGGTATGTAAATACGTTGGAACTGATTGATATGAATGCGCATCTTTCAAAAAATTTATAAAAAAAAAATCTATATGTTTTCTTAAGGAAAAGGCTTTTATATTTAATGTTATGTTTTTTTTAGTCTCACATCTTAAAGAGGACAATAAAATGCGATTGTAATATATTGGAAAGATAGTACATAGCAGAAAGATGCATTTTAAAGCTAAAGATTATAATATTAATCTAAAGTTTTCATGGCAATTTGTATCTGATTTGAAAAATTTTAAGAAATAGCTAGTTGTCTGCGATGAGCAATAGAGAACTAGAATTACTTGACCAAAAAAAGTTTGACAAGGCTATGTATCCGCACATTTGTTAGAAAAAAAGCATATGTTTGTTTTGCGAACTCGCATGCATTTACGCTTGAATCTTATTTTTATTTCCATATATGCGAAGGAATAATTTTGTGAGGGTAATTTTAATCAAAATAACATTTTGTTTGAACATTCTTTTGATAAATATATATAGAAGGGATATTTGATTAATTATGTATGCTATGAGGCACTTAAATACTTTTCTTTTTATTAAATTGATCATATCAAAACATTCAATGATTAGAAAGATTTCACACGGATATAAATAAATAATAATATTAATAACATAACATGATTTCATATGTAATTACTGAGGACTGATTTAAAAAAACAAAATAATGATCGGGCAAATAATCTGTTCAGCATATGTTGACATGCATTATTTAATAGGGAAGTGTTGATAAATTATAGCTTTGGATCTTGTAGCTGAAGCCAATAAAATGTGAGATGCAAATGCCAAAATCAAACAAAAAATCAAAATACAAAAGGGAAAAAAATAGGAAAAGGGCCAGATCTGTAGAATGAAGAACAAGAAATCCTTACCATCCAAATTATACATATGATTGGTTGGAGGGTCCGCCATTCATCATCTTTTTAAATAAATAAATAAATATATATATATATATAGATAAAGACCATACTAATCTCTTAAATTATACACAAATGACGACCGTAAAAGTTTTGCAATTTTTGCTTTCCATCACGATGTTCCTTTAAATATTCTCAGGCTATAATTTTCAGTTCTAGTTTTAACACCATGTAATTGTATGGAAGATTAGCTCACTTATAACTTGACTCTTACGTATTTATATATCTAAGATCTAACTTTAATTTTAACATACAAGCCACCCTATCTAATGCTTGAAAAACTATTTTTTTAATTTTTAAAAGTTATGATAGTAATATTTTTAATGTGACATGACAGATTTGCGTGGTATAAATATAAAATTAAAGTTTTAAGTGTTAGATACGTAAATACATAAGAATTGGACAGTAGCATTCACATACATACCACATAATTTCTATGTATTTGCATATCCAAGACATTACATTTATATTTACACTAAAAACTTTAATGTCACATCATAAATATCACTTTCACTATCTTTTTAACATAGGTGTTAGATATACAAATAAATATGAATTGGGTGGTATGTATGTAAGTAACCCCCCAAAAAAAAAAATCTAATTCTAAACAATAATACATAAATACAATATGTTCAAGAGATGTTGGTTCGAGATAGAGAAAATAATAATAATAGAAGTCAAGTAAAAAGCAGTCATACCCAAGGCAAAAATGTTCCACATAAACTAGTTTTGAATTCCGCTGGGCCAAGTCTCGTTCTTCACTGGTTCTAATAGAGCCTCCACCTCCTGCAGAGTTTCTTGGTCAATTCCCACCTCAGAGAGCTCTAGAGCAGACCCAACATTATCCTCCACCTGCAACACCACCTCAAACTCTTCCAATAATTTAGTTTAGCGCATGCATTAGAGAAAAATTACGTCAAAATACTCTAATTCCAAGTGTTATTATAATGAGTCATATTAAATTGAATTGTAATGGTTGTTTTAGAGGCATTTACATACATACCACACAATTCTTGTGTATTTACATATCTAACATCTAAACTTTGAACTTTACATTCACAACACTCAAAATTTTAACATGTAAAAAAAATGTCACTATTATTAACTTTTTTTTGAAGAGAAATGCATCTTTTCATGTATATGTTTACGATACCAAGGTGTTATTAATGTAAATATCAAACTTTAGGAGATAGATATATAAATACATAAGAGTTGTGTGGTGTTTCTATGTAAATCTCCCTTTCATTTGTTTAATATGAACTTCTTTCTAATGAATTTAATTATTATGTGAATCGTAGTTAGTTTATTTTTACAGGTACTTAAATTAATTGTGCTTTCTTGTATTCGTATTAAAACCAAGGCAATACTCCAATCCATCATCCTATCAATTTGAGATTTTCTAGTAATAGTAACTGGAGAGCAGGCATTTGCCTAACTATTTTGGGATAATTACATACACGTCACTAGAAACATTATTATTTATAAAACTAGCATGAGTGATTTTTTGGACTTCAGAATCGGTGCATTGACACATGCCGCCGCGAGCATATTATTGAGAATTTGATAAAAATGAAACATATTGGTTGTGGTTGTATCTAGGGCTGTCAAAAAAGCTCGTTGTTCACGAACAGCTCGTGTTCGGCTCCTTCGTAAAGTATACGAGCCGAACACGTTTGTTCGCACGTGTTCGGCTCGTTTTAGCTCGAAATAAAAAAAAAATTATATAACTTTTTATATAACAATATGTTATATATATTATTTATATAATAATATATTATATATATTTATGTCTAAGTTTAAATCATAACACCTCATGTGGCAATGTGGTTAGTGTCTTATTTTGTATATATTTGATCCAGGTTCGAATTTCACACTTTACATCTATTTTTCTCAATTTAAGTTTAACGAGTCAATTTCGAGCCGAACACGAACACGAATATTTAAATCGATTTCGAACACGAGTTATTTCGAACGAGCCGAACACAAGCCAAGCCTGAGCTCGCTCAAGCTAGGCTCGTTTACAGCCCTAGTTGTATCATGATGTTAATATTTGAGAAGATTTTAAAAAATGAATAAAAGAGGGTAGTGCTAGAATTGTAAATAGCAATGTTTCAAGTGCTATGTAAGTGATTGCCTCTTTTTAATTATATGGGCTATTTTCTGACGGCAAGTGAAAGAGAAATCCGATCAATGCCTAAAACAAATATGCATATTAAGCTGAAAATGAATAATTTATGCTCAAAGATCAATATGTAAAAAGTAAAAAATTAAAAAACTGAGAAAGGATTACATGCCTGAGCAGCAGAAGTCAAGCCAACAAGCACTGTTGAAATATCTTTATTCATTAGACTGTACTGAAGTGCTAACTTCGAAATGTTTTTCCCCTTCTCTTTACAATGAACTGCAGCAGCCCTGCACGCCGACTAACGCACAATACAAACTTTAGATCACAATATTGTCACTTAAAACATTCATTATATTCTACAATTAAAACATGTTACAAGGATTATTTTGAGATAAATGAAGAGCTTTTCTGCCCCACATGTTATAAAGAATACTTTCAATGGAAGCCTAATGACCTGGTAACCAAATAAGAAACACCACAGATTAATTTCCTTATTGCAAAAAACTAAATGAAGAGCTTTTCTGCCCCACATGTTATAAAGAATACTTTCAATGGAAGCCTAATGACCTAGTAACCAAATAAGAAATACCACATATTAATTTCCTTCTACCTGATTTTACCTAATTTCTTCTATATCCGAATCGTTGTTTCCTGAATGTGACCTTTGGGCCCAAGGAAAGCAAGAACAACATATCTTTGACCACAATAGTTTCAAACAATTATATAAAAAAAGGGAAATTAGCATATATAGACGACATAATTCTTATGTATTTATATGTCTAACACCCAATGTTTGATATTTACACTTATTAACACTTTCGTGTCATAACCACCCCGTGCATGAAAAGCTGTATTTCACATATATCTAACACCCAATGTTTGATATTTACACTTATAACACTTTCGTGTTATAACCCCGTGCATGAAAAACTGTATTTCACTTAAAAAAAGTTGTAATAGTGGTATTTTTATGTGATGTTAGAGATTGGAGTTGTATGCATGTAGATATGAAGATTAAGGTGTTAGATATGTAAATACATAAAAATTATGTGGTATGTATGGAAACGCCCCGTTAAAAAGTTGTATTCCCTGCACAGCATACGCAATGCTAAAAGTGAGATTTGTGGCTTTGGAGATTGTTGGATAGCAGTTGAATCTATCCATTCCAATTCACATGAATTAATCATAAATCCAGTTTTTTTCCTAATTTAAGATCGTGAGAGATTCATCCAACAATAAGCTTCGTGAAATAAGATTATTCGAATGTAAACGACCTATTTGATCAGCAGAAACTATTCTCATTCATGAATTTGCAGAATTGAGAGAAAGAAAAGGAGGAGATACCTTCAGTTCCGGCGAAGCAGGGTGCCAATCCGGAGGTCCGCTCTCCGTCAAAAGCCCCATTGCAAGCGGAGAAGCACTGATCACTCCAACCCCTTTGCTCTTCAAATAAGGAATCAAATCCGCCAGAGTAGAATCATTAACACCATAATGACAATACGAAAGAATTACATCCACGGATCCCATCGGCACGCGATCCAGAACATATGTGAAAATTCCCAGCGGCAACCCCGTGATACCAATGAATCTCGCCTTCCCTTCCGCCCTGATCTTCTGCAATGCTGGAATAGTCTCGTTGACGATCTGATCTAGCGATCCAAACTCGATGTCGTGACAATAGTGCGAGCGCACGGCGAACGGCGGCTAGGGCATCGTCGGGGGAGACGAGGCCAAAGACGTTGCCGAGGGGAGAGGCACCAAAGCCGATGCAGCCGAGTTGGAGGCCTGTTTTGCCGAGATTCCTCCGCTCCAGCACTGGTTTCTTCTCCATTTTTTACTTCTAGGGCTGCCAGCCGGACGCAGCTCAGGGGGATGGATAATTAATTAGGGGTGTATACGCTCTCACTTTGGAGCTCAAAAAATGTGTTCGTCTTCTTGTTCCGCTCGTTTGTTTAGCGAGCCGAATATGAGCTGTTTAGAAACAAACCAACAAACAGTCATTTTGACAACCCTGTTTCAGATAGTCATAAGATCTTAAAAATTGGGGCAAGATTTAAAAATTATTATTTATATCAAAAAATTATTTGAATCTAATTTAATAATAATAATAATTATTTTCTTAATTAGTACTTATAATTGGTTATAAATCTTTATAGCCTTGTAGTCAATTTAATTTTTTAAAAATATTACTCATCAATATATATATATATAT